TTTTAATTATTTTATTAAAATATTATTAAAATATTTAATAAATTTATAAAATAAATTATATTTTTAATATATAATTTATCTTGTAAAAACTTTTTTATTTTAGGCAAGGAACAATTATTTCTCAAACCAAAGATGATTAGGTGGATGCCAACTAACATTGTAGCTTTAATAGCTACAATTTCTTTGAAACAGCTACTAACATTTAAAAGCTTTAAAGTTTAAGCTTTAATAATTTCATTTCTCATTCTCTAATTAACCTAGTTGGAAAAGAGGGGTTAGGTGGGTACAACTGTACAAGTACACGGAAAATGGCTAGTAATTTGGCGGGAAATCATGGAGATTTGGTCAATAAGAGACATTTCCGAAAGTTTAATATTAAACCTTTGTCTCCAAGTCTTTGGCCTTTTACGCAAGCACTTTGACCAGACTGGTCTACCAAATACCGCGTTTTTCTGCCGTTTTATCACTTTCTCATCAGACCGCAATAGCCGACCTCATCGATCAAATCAACTCTGCGGTTTCGCATGGACCACTCATTCATTCTAATAAAAAGAGAATAAAAAAAGAAAAAGTAGCTTTAATGGTAGGAAAGAAAATTTTTTTAAACGTTAGGGTGTGGGACTTAAATTTGACCCGGATAACCTTAATATGAGAATTTCTTTATAAAATAAAGGTAATTACCGCGTATCAGAGGTACTTGGGTAAATAGTGTCAAATTACATTTAAGTATATTTTTTTTAATAATGGTTTAAATTTGATTTATTGTAAAATTGTTCAAAAAAAAATAACTGTATTAGGGGGGACAGTTTCTCTTCCGCCCATGTATGTTGGGTTAGGACTGTTTAGTTTTTATAATTTACGTGCTTAAATTTTATAGAATTTTTTTAATTAATACGTAAATAATTTTAATTTGTTAAAAAAATTAAATCAGGAGAATGTTTTCTAATAGTAAGAGTGAATTGATATTTATTAATTTAAAATTTTTAATTTTAAAGTTAAGTTTTAATGCATAAAAAATATTTAAAAAAATGTTATGAGATGCGGACAAGATTATATTTTTTTTATGTTTATGATAAATTTTATTTATTTTGATTGATATTTTATTAATTTATAATTTTTTA